GGGAAGCCCTGGGACTCTGGTCAGGAGGCATCTCAGGTCACACAGCTGGGCCAGGGTCCCTGGTCACTGTCCCCCCTTCGCCCTTACGCCCGAGTGTCACTGTGAGCTGCGGCCCTGAGGGGCCCCACTGCCACAGCCTTCCCTGGCTCAGTTCCCAAAGTGCATGTCTGCACTGTGTCCCTGACCCCTGAGAGAAAGGCTGGGGACCCCCACTGAGTGGACTGGCTGCCCCTCCCCCCCAGGCCTTTTTTTTTATTTTTATTTTATTTATGTGTGTGTGTGGCCAGCTCAGCCCACCAGGGGGTGGGCTGGCTGGCATGTGGTGCTGGGGGATTGAACCGAGGTCCCTGAGCCATCTCACCAGCGCCCTCCCCTCCCCCAGGCCTTTTGAAAGTTTTGACAGTGACTCAGGCCACCCAGGCCGGCTTGAGCTTGCATTCTTCCTGCTTCAGCCTCCGAGCAGCCTGAGTGGCAGTGTATCATCTCCTTTCCCAATCTGAGCTTCGGAGTCTGGTGTCGCCCCACACCCCCGACCCAGGCCTTTTGTGGATCCAGCTTCAGCTTGAACAGCAGGAAGAGGAAGTGGGCAGGAGCAACCCTGGTGCTGCCCTGCGGTGTCCCACAGGGGGCTTTTCCTGTAGGGCCTGGGGACAGGGCAGTTGCAGGGCTGTTTATCATTGGAAGGCCCTGCAGTGGGGATAGAGACCTCATGTAGCAACCTATAGAAGGTGCAAAACACCTGTGATCCCAGCTCGAAGGAGGCTGAGGCAGGAGGATCATGAGTTCAAGTCCCACCTAACCATACTTTATCTGTTTTGCTGTCTGCTTTGGGTTGATTGAAGCCTGTGCATATTTCTCTAACTCAGCACGCTGCTCTCAAAGCCCCTAGAAGGTTTGGAGTGGCTCCGAAGAAACATTCCAGTGCTGGCCTCAAGGTGCCCGCGTGCCTCAGCCTCCTGAGTGGCGGGGATTGCGGGTGGGAGCCACAGCTGGTGAAATTGGGCTTTTCCTTCCTCACTGATGTGAAGGAAGCATGGAGAGGAGCCCTGGCGCCTGCCTCAGTGTCCCTGGAAGGTGCAGGTCCTCACAGGGACGCTGGGACATTGGCTGTGGGCCGAGGGCACCTGGGATTGTCCTGGGCTGCACCTCAGTCTGCTTCATTCTGAGGCAAGGCCTTGCTCAGCTGCCGAGGCTGGGCTCGAGTTTGGGATCCTCCTGCGTCACTCTCCTGAGGGCTAGGGCGACAGGTGTGCCCTCCACGCCCAGCTCTCACGCCACAAATATTTATTGGGCCCCTAATTCGGCCCCAAAACTAAAGTGAGCAGGGCCTCGTCGTTGCCACCGGGGCCCAAGACCCACAGGGACGGGAGGGCAGCTCGAAGCTCTTCTCCGGCCCCCCTGCCTCGAGTTCCCTCGTGGGGACAGCAAGGGGCGCCAGGCCCGTACAGTGCGGGGCCGGGGCCCAGGGCCCGAGGGGGAGCGGACGGGCACGGAGGAGGGCGAAGAAGCGGGGGCTGGCGGCACACGCCTGCCGCTCCTGCTCTCTGGAGGCGGACAGGAATTCGAGACCATTAGGGACTGCGGCCAGGGCCTTGGAGCCCCTTCACGCGGTTGCTGGCGCTGGTGACTGCACGGGGCGGCGACGCCCTGGGCGCACGCTCGGTGCCTCCAGGGTGGGGCAGCCTGGCTCTCCATCCTCGCGCACCCCTGCGGCGGCGCTGCCCCCGGTGCTGGGCGGAAGGGCGCATCACCCGCCCGCCTCTTCCCATCGCTGCCGCCCGGGTCGACCCCTGCGGCCTGGCGCCCACGAGTGCTGCAGGCGAGGCCCCGCCACGTGAATCACTCCGGACGCGGGGCCTGTGACAGGCTCTGCCCCCAGCGAGCCGCAGCCCACGCAGCAGAGGCTTGAACCCAGAGCGCTTTGCCCCGAGCTGCACCCCCAGGCTTTGCTGTAGTTTTTCTTTGGAGACCCGGTTTTCCTCTGTAGCCCAGGCGGGTCGTAGGCTCGGGGACCCTCCTGTCTCAGCCCCTGAATGCTGGGGTCAGGCGTGCGCCCCCGCGCCTGGCTAGGACTGGGCTTCTGTTAAAGATTAATTAATGTCTGGACTGCGTGAGGGTTGTAGGAGGCAGGCCAAGGACGGGAGCTGGGACCAGGGTTCAGCCGCCCAGTGCGAGCTCCTGCCCTGCCTCAGAACTGCCCCGGCTGGAGCGGATTTCTCCTGAAAGCCTGACCGGGCGAGGGTGTGAGTGTGCATGGGTGGGTACCACGATCTGAGAAGAGGGGACGAGGCCTCAGCCTGGGACACAGAGGAAGAGGGGCAGGAGCAGTGGAGAAACATTTAAGAGAATTCAGGCCAGCCGTGGCCATGCACAGCTATGAGGGAGGCTGAGGCAGGAGGATCTCAAGTTCCAGCCCAGCCTGGGCAACTGAGGGACTTATGGAGATCCTGGTTCCAAATAAAAGATTTTTTGAAAAAGCAAAGGAAGAAGCCTGGGCTGCAGGGCCCCGACTCGTTGGGGGGTGAGGGCAGAAACCCAGCAGAGCTTGGGAGCTGGGACTGACAAGGAAAGCAGCATGGGCAGCGACAGTGGCTGGTGCCCTCGCCCTTCCTCCTCTGGGACTCGTCCTGCAAGGCCAGGTGGCCGGAGGAGCTGGTCCTGACCCAGCCAGCTCTGTGCCCCAGGCCCAAGCTGTGTGACTCGAGCTGTCACTGCAGGTGGCCCAGGCCTGAGCTGCCCCACAGGACTGTAGGTCTGAGCATGCTCCAGTCCAGGAGAGGCATCCCCTCTTAGGGTGCTGATTTGCATGTGTTTTGCATTTTATTTGCATAGTCACAGGGGCCTCCCCTTTGGCGAGAACTGTTTGTGTGGGATTTGCATATCGTTTGCATAGCCTCAGGTCCCCTTTTGGCAGGACCTGTGTCTCCAGGTTCACATCTCCAGCTCAGCCCTGCTTGGCACTGCTTCCTCCTAGTCAGGGTTCCCCCCACCCAAGACTCCCCAACCCTCTGGCCAGGACCAGAACAAATGTGGGAGCTGATGAGCAGCCGCCACCCGTGTATCCCAGGGTGCCCAGGCCACTAGCACGAGGGCATTAGCTGAGGAAACAGGTTCGGGTCACCATCCGGCTTGGTGCGGGTCTGGGCTCCTTGCTTGCGGTGAGAGGCAGGGATCCATCCAGCTTCACGGCGGTAGCCTCGCCCTGCCTGGCCTCGCTGGCCTGCCTGCCCTGCCCTGTGCTTTGTCCACCACAGCCAACAGACTACAGAGCACATCTGGTCTTCCACCCCAACAGCCTCTGCTTACCACAGCCGCTGGGAGGTTGAGTAGGTTGCAGACTGAACCATTCATTGTGTCCATCCACGAACACCCCTCTTTTGTCCACCTTTTCTGGGGGGCACTGAGGCCCCACCCCAGCTTGAGACCCTGGGGCAGGGCCAAGGTCATCAGGCTGAGCGCTGAGCTGGCCATGGCCAGGACCCAGGGGCGGCTGGGTTGGAAGGATCTCCTGGGCGGGACCTCACTGGCCTGTGGACTGGGCTGCCCTCCTGTCCACCCTCACTCCCTGCCTGTTCCTGTGCAGCCAGCGAGACAGGGTGGGCAGTCCCTTCCTGGGCAGCATGGGCTGGGGGACCTTGTCTCTGCCTCAGAGCCCTCCTTGTACCCTGTCTTGTGCCGGTGACACATGCATCCAGGGAGCACAGCCACCTGGTGTCACTCCACACTTGCCTTCTGCCCCTCCCTCAAAACCAGCACTTTCCGCAGTTCCGTTAGGATGGGGCTCCTGTCACCCTCCCTTGGGGCCCTGTGCTTGGTCATTGCTCTGGTCCCACCACCCGGAGTCCCCTGTGCAGTTCAGGCTGGCCTGGAGCTTGTGGTAATCCTCCCATCCCTGCCTCGAGCGCAGTGTCATACACCCACATCGTGTCCTTCATGGAAGCCCCTGCACGCTGGATCCTGGGCCACCCCTGTGAGTCACCCATCTCTGGGTGCCCCTGGTGTCCCACAGAGGTGTGCACCTTCATGAACCATTTATCACAAACTGTCCCTTCCTGGGGCCCATGTTTTGGCACCAGGGAGTCTGCAGGGGAGGATGTGTGGTCCCTGCCCTGTATCCCACAGCTGTGACAACCCAGAGGCGACCAAGAGCTTGGGCACAGGGGCAACAGGACCCCAGCTCTGGTGGGAAGCCTTGAAAGTTAAAACCAGGAGTGACGGGGTGCGAACCGGCAACCTCGCGCCCAGAACTGAGCTAGGGATAGGGCTGGTGAGATGGCTCAGTGGTCT